TCTTTTTAGAACTTCAACATATTTTTATTTTGTATCAAAAGCTTTAAGACTAACCATTTAAATTTGTAGTATTTCCCTATACTGTTTTTTGGTACACTAAGTTTTCTTTCACCTGCAGCCTAAATGCAAGACTTGACAGGTGTATACTCTTTTCAAATGTTACCCACACACAATCAAATCAAAGTATATGCAATTTGTAAACAGGCTGTGGTGGGGACACCTCTAAGTATCTGCTTTGAAAGCATCACTAATATCCTCTAGACTTGTGTTCCAAGGGTGAGACCACCACAAATCAAGAGAAATGTTTTTGTTTGGGTATTTCTTTCCTCCAAAATATTCTAGTAGGTACAGTTAAGAAATAATTGACAGGGACTGGAGATGTAGCTCTTAGTAGTGCGTGTGCTCAGCCTCCACAAGGTGCAAATTTCAATTCTAGCTCTTCCAGGAAAAGAACAAGGAAGGACAGAAAGAGGGCAAAGAAAAACAAATGCTTAACCGAAGTTCATATGTATGTGTCACACAGAAAGACACAGATGTAGCTATGAGCTCTTCACCCTGGGACACCTTCTCTGAGTCATAAAAATACCAGTTTTATATACTGGGCACCTTGTCTAGTGCCTGTGAATGGCAAAGCGATGCCTCTGCATCCCAGAACTAAGAACTCTGTGCATAAACATAAAGCCAAATTGTCAATGGGTTGCAGCAAGTGCAAAACCACCCCCAACCACCAGCGTGTCAATCACAGACAACCTTAAACCAATCCATCATGCTATAAATCACCCTTGCACAGTCTTTGGCTCATTTGCATCTACTAGCTAAAAGAACAAATTTCAAAGGATCATAAACAACTCTTCTGCAAAAGTCATAAACTGCCATGAAAGCTGCCAGCTCTGCCTTCGTGGTGATTTCTAGCCTAGCTGCCTGCTAGAATTGTCACCGGGACAGCCAGGAGGCAGGGAGTCTGAGAGTCCGCACAGTGGTTTCCTAAGACGAGCCAGTGTGTGTGACTATCAGCCAACACAGCTCTGCAGGCAGCAGTCTGGAATGTCTAACAGAGAGAATAAGAAATGACACCCGTACTTTTAACTCTCCCTCAAATTAGAGTTCCTGTGGGTCAGCCTTCATAGGAAGGCCTGGATGTTCTCATTTGGTTTGGCTGAAAAGCAGCTGCACAAGTACTGGGAAATTCTGTACCAAACCAGGTGCCACCTCCAACAAATTTCAGTCTTATGTTAAGGGTTCTGAAGTACTTCAGGGAGTTGGAATTAAAGTGCTCACAATCCTCTTTGCTTTGTGATAGGCTTCATTGTAAACAATCCCCCAAGAGTGTATCACCTCCGTATTCCCTAAAGTAAAATTTTATTTCCCTCCAAGGTATGTGGATCTTTGGTTTCATTCATCTATGTTACAGCATTGAATCAAGTTTGATGAGTGCCATTAATAAATTCAAAACAACTGAGTCATTTAAAACATTTTGAATGAACAATTAATAAAGTTAAAAAACACCACTAAAGCCATTTTCAAGTATTAAAGGACATACACTGCCATATATGATTAGCGTGAAGATAAGAATTTGTTGTAGATAGGACTGAAGGTCGGTATAGACAGACTGGGAGGAGAGGGAATCTGTACATGAACTTTACATACAGCACAGGAAAGACCGCTGCTCACCTAACAGTGAAGGGTCCTGACCGTTAGATCAAGTCTTCAACCAGACCAAGGAACTCCTGCCTTGTTCTCAGCCACTTCCCTTCCTATCCACAACTTCTTACAGAATTCCAGGACCCAGTACAAAATGAAATTGCAGGGCCCCTGTTTTGGCATCATTACGAATTTAGGCAGAGCACTCAACCAGGCGAGGGATGCACCTGAAAGCCGGACTCTCGGGAGACCACGTGGAAGGCTCATCTGTGAGGCCGGGCCTGCCCTGCACTGCAGAAACACGTCTGCCAAGGGCACAACAGGGCGTCTCTGTGACCCGCCAAGGCTCTCCCTTTCTATTATGATAGCAATGAACCGCACTGATCACTTCACATTATGAGGACCAAATAAAAACATACAAGATACACTTAATGTTTTTGAAAAATAGAGTGAGATTTATTTTGTTATAGACACCATTTCAACTGAAAAAACTATTTCACTGGCTTCATTTCGGTGAAGGATAAAAATATCTGATCCAACAATGTTACTTTCTTTTCCCTTTTTAAACAAAGCTTACTTTTAACATTCAAGGAGATGCTGGTGTGTGGTGACAGAAGAGACGGAGAATGGGGGGGGGGCAGAGAAGAAAGAGGCAGACAGAGACAGATGGGTAGGGCGGGAACCTCAGGCAGCCTAGGAAAGTCTCCTGCAGGCCACATGACTCTTTTCCCCTCAGAAACATTTAGGCCGTAATTGCCACTTTAATTGTCCATCAAATATATACTCATAACTTTTCTTAGCACTACAAGTAAGGCATAATTACTTCAGAATTTGGGGCTCAATCTTTTCCATTAATTTCCAAAACATGAGTTTTAATTTCAGACTACTGTGAAAAGCTGTGATAAATATCCTAGATAATGAATGTTTGTAGCGAGGGCTTCCTGTTTGTAAATTTAGGGGTAGAGGGTTACTTGACAATAAATGCTATAATACATTTTTTTGGTTGTGGCCTTAGAATTATAATTTGAGGGAGAAGAAAATAAGATTTTGGATAAATCTGTGGTCTACAAGACTGAAAGACTTAGAAACAGAAGGTCATCATGGTAATACATATACGCTATTGGGTTATTAACACAGAGAAATGGATACATGCTACCTCAAAAGTCTGCCACTGTTTGTATTTAAAACATTCCCCCTACCATTCTTTCCCAAAGAAGTTTTCCTCCATGAACATGGGCTTCCCTTTAACAAGAGTAACACAGGGCTAGGGATTTAGCTCAGTGGTTCCGCCGCCTGCCTCGTAAGCACAAGGTCCCGAGTTTGATCCTCAGTACCAAAAAATCAAAAACAAAACCCAAAAGAGTAACACAGAGAGAAACATTCCTGACCTTGGGGTGTGAGGGGAGAAGGTTCACTCTATCCTGCCTGAGCAGCCTGCGGCCACCACCTCTGCAACACCTGCTCAGTACCACGGCCAGCCACCCACTTGGGGTGTTTCTGTTTTTAATGATAATGACCAAGTCAGAACTAGGCCTTCCAACTTCTCTTCCAAAACATACCGCCACCTAAACACTGAAGGCTGATCCCGAATTCTGTTAACGTTAGCGGCAAATAATACAATTTTTTTAGGGACTGTTAAAGCTGAACTGTTTTGTAATTTAGATTTGTATTTTACATGCTCAGTTCTGGAAGCTGCTATTAAAACCACTATGTACAGAGAAAAAAGAAGTACGTATATATTAAATATTTTATAAGTTATGAAATAAATAACCTAAAAATAAATGCCAAATTGTGAGTTTAACTTTGCCTTCCTTATCCTTTAAATACAAATATATATATTTAAAATTATGAATTTAGACTTCCTTAGGTTTTTAGAGTATTCTCTATGAAATCTCCAAAATTACAAATACAGGACAAATACCAGGTCTTGATCATGTATGTTTTAAGTACAGAATTCTCACTAAGCCTAGGAAGACAAATAAATAGAGCTCTCTTTCCCTCTAGTTAGTCTATGAAGAGTTTGTTATATATTGTAGGTTTCTCAGTTCAAATATATTTTCAAAATATAATAAATTCATGATATTTAAACATTAAGATAACAAAGTAGGACATTTCTCTTAGTTAATATCTTTAATATTTTCTATGTAGAATATACTATTTTTCTCCACCAAAATAATAATATATTTGAAGATGGGAACATTTATGATTTTAAATGCACTTTTGAAATTTTCAAGTAGAACCACTACTCCAGTAATATTTGTAACAAAACCTATGATTTAAAATATTAGGGGCATCAAGCTCTTGATTTTCGTGCTGGGATAAAGATACCCATATATAACTCCAGAAGCTTCCTTTTTGATGTATTAGGCAATGGAAAAACTCACACCAGAGCGGAATTTAATTTACTCCTCAAAAGGTCTCTAGTAGCATCCTTAGGAAGATCTCAGATAAAGCTCACTCAACAATAGCCCTTTTTCTCATACAGTCTGTATGGTTCTCCAAAAGTCATTCCTGAACCTCCACTTGGTACACATTCCCAAACGGCTTCCCTAGAGGATTTATCCTCTTTGAAACAGCTCATCCCATGAAGAATAGATCCTCTCCTTTACAGCATTTCAATACTTCTGTATTTCTGGGACATCAAAGTCTAAGGAAGAAATGGAATTAGGTCTCCAGGATGCAAAAGCATAGAAATGTATCGAGCGAAATGGGGAGTCAGACTGAACAAAAATCTATAAAATGTGTAGTTGCTGCCTTTTGCCCCTCTCAGAACTTCCTGCTGGACTTGCTGTTTTTCTTTTTTTCAAGACAATGCAGTCTTTAACACAGGGAGGCCAGCAGATGTCCCAGGATGTGCCACCCTGAACATGGCACTGTGCCCTGTGGATGCGACAGCCAGGCCTCTGTCACTCTATCCTCTTCTGGAGCCACCACCACGGTCCTATAAGACTGGGCTGGGCAGCGCTATGTCTGATCTTTTTCTCGAACTTCCTGTAACCGCTTTTCTAGGCGATCTAATTTGGCGAGATTTTCCTTCAGCAGCTTGCTGTCTGGAACCAGCTGCAAGGCTCTCTCGTAATAAGCTCTGGCAGACATGTACTTTCCCTATGGGGAAGAAGAGAGAACAATCACACTTGGATCACCATGGCTCTGAGGGGGTGCGGACTGAGGGGCTGGCCCTGTCCTGTCCAACAGTGATGTCCTCACAGACACATTTTTTGGATGTGCAATTCTATTCTGTCTGTCACTGCTTTGGCGAATCCATTTCCTTTAAGTGCCAGACTGGATAGAGAATCCGAAGAATTACAGAAAGATGAGTGAGCTAAGGCAGAAAGAGATTTCCAGGAGAAGAGCATTTCCTAGGGCTCCCATGGGGCTGGCAGTGTCCTCTCCCACCAAATGGAGCCATGCCTGGGAGGGGGTGTGTTTCTGAAAATAGTTGAGATCTACTAGAGGTAGTAGCTATTCTAATCTTCAACTTAAAACCTAATAGCAGCCTTTGCCTAAAACAGGCTCTATATAATGAAAAGATGATAAGAATACAGGGTCAAATTTATGTGCTACTCAAGGTGTGTGGCCACATGTAATGGCTACACACTCTCAGAGCACACTCTCACTGTGCCCACCCTCTGCCAGCACTCATCTCTAGCAACTGTGTGTGCCTGGCACCTGACGGGCCCTAGCAAATGGGTCACAACTCTTACCTTTGCCCAGCCCCCTTCCTGATCCGAAATGAATTATTTATTTCCTTTATTGAGTCATCCTTTCAGATTTGTCCTGCAGTGTCAGAACTAAGACTGTTAAGAGTTCTCTCTATTCTGAAAAGTATGATCTGTTTCACCTGATTTTCAGTTATACCTGCCATGTGGATGAACACCAGTGACTCTGGATTTCTATCACAATTTAAAACTGTATCTCTTAGGGTAAAAGTACTAACTAGCAATTAACAATTCATGTCCACTGGATGCTCAGCTGTTTTCTAAGTGAGTAACTTTGTGTCCAGAGTCTAGACATTGCCAGATAGAGAGCTCTCATGCATGTTATCTATTGCGAGGAAGTGAAGACCCACTCTGTGCAGCATCTGTTTCTCGTACTGCTCACTAGTCACACCAGTGAAAGGGAGTGGGGACAGCAGGGTAAGAAACTACCTTGGGAATCCAGACGCTGATATGTACAATACAGGGAAGTATTTCTGATTATTAACACTGACTCTGAAAAGAGGCTAAACAGACTGCTGATCAAGTGGGAGTGTGGATTTGCTGGATTCTATCATTTTTTTCAACTCATGGATTTATCACCCTTTGTAAAATCAATCCTTTGATTTTTACTAAGCTGAGTACATGCATGCAGACGCCTGCACGTCTGGCTCCTGGAGAGCTCTCACAGGGCACCTCCCCTGCAGCTGATGTTGACTGCTCCCCCAGGCACGGGCTCTGGATTCACGTTTCTCTGTTCTTTCACACAAAATCTACTTCATCTTCTGTCCCTCCAACTGCTCTTGATTAAACTGGAAGCCCTATTTTTTTTTAAGTTGTATCCCTTAATCCAAAGTCTCTAATTCCATGCTAGGTAAGGAATTTGAATGATCTGTCTTCTAGAACAGTGCCAATATGTTTGCCACTCACCACATGTGCCTATAGAAATTTAAATTAACTACAATTAATTATGAATTCTGTTCCTCAGTTGCACCAGCTCAACAGCCACACGTGGCTGGTGGTCACTGTCTCCTTGGCCAGTTTGGACACAGAGCATTTCCACTGTCAGTCTCTTTTGGACAACAGGCCTTCTAGAAAACACATCTTCCTATCAGGAGGCAGACTTAAAATAGCACATCTAACACAGGCTGGTGGCTGGAAAGCTTTTGATTATAAAGAATGTATTAAAGCTTTTTATCATATATAAAACATCATAGAAAGTATTATAGGTTGAGTATTTCTAATCTAAAGATGCAAACTGCTTGAAAATCTGAAATTTTTGAGCACTGACATGATGTCACCTGGCCTCATGTGCACAACAAATTGGGCAGACAGCTGTCTTCAGGCAATGAGCATAAGGTACATGTGAAACACAAATTTCATACCTGCAGTTAGGTTCTATTCCCAATACCGATCTATCCATCCATTCATCCACCCATGCAAATATTCTAAAGCTTGACAAAATTCAAATCTGAAACCTTTCTGTCCCTAGGCATTTAGGTCCAGGACAAGGGAAGTATCTATGACTACACAGCAAGAGTAAGAGAGGACCACCACACTCATTCCCTTCTCCCTATCTAGTGTCTCCTCCTTGAAAAGCCTCGTTATGAGTCAGCCTCCCTGTGGCCCTCAGGCTGCCTATCAGCTTCCCAGGCCCTGCAACAGGACAGCTCTGCTGTATGTGCATACTGCTGGGCAATGCCAAAGACACACAAGTTCATGACTGTTCTTTAAGATCCTGCAGCCTACCACACCCAAGCCATGTGCTGCTCTATATATTTCTATTAGATTATATCATATCAATTCACCGATTATTAAACTACAAATGTGGCAGTTTTGTATTGTTCAATCTAATACATGATGTCTGCAACAACAAAAAAAGATAAGTTAATTTTAATTAATGTTAGTTACATTTAAAAATCATGTATTCAATAATCTTTCTTCAATCTCCAGATACCTTTTCTAATAAGTACTTCTAAATTTAAAGCATCCAATTCAACCATACAATAAATATATTATCTTTTCTATCTCTAGACTTTTGGGAGACTCCTGAAATTATTTGTCACACTTTTTCCAATTAACAACTTTAATTTCCATTTCCGTTGCTTTCCATCTGAAAATACAGCAAGCGCATTATTGAAAACATAACTACTTCATACGCACTTTAAAATACTTAAACTTATGATCATACTCTTTCAAGTAAGTTCATCATATGCTTCCCAACTAGGCAGTGCTGGACTCTCTCGGAGTCAGGAGGGCGCGAGCTCCATTCTGGACATTGACCGCTGCCCCTGCCCCAGCTCTGCAAGGCCCGGCCTGCCGGCTTCCGGGTCCAAGGCTTCTTGGCCTATCCACTGTCTTCACGCTCAGGTGTGTTCTGCCAAGTCTGAGAGCGATCAGTTTTACTGCATGAACCGTGGTCCCTGTGAGGCTTTGCTCGCCTGCTGTTCACCTCACTGGTCTTTTTATTGTTGCAGAGGCCCACAGACGCTTGGTAAAGAAAGGTGGCTAAATCAGAGGGATCCTTTAAAACACACCCAACCATAATATCTTCCCATTCAAACTCCTCCAAGGACCACAACTTTTTTGTGTCATAAAAGCAAAAGTTCTTACAAATCCCCCTCAAGGAACTGCACAATGTGCAGGTTACCTCCTGTCTGCTCCAAACACAGCAGGGACATCTGTACCTCAGGACCTCAGAGCATGCTCTGTCCCTGGCAGGCCACATGGCTTGCTGCCTTCAGGACTCTGTTCAAATGTCCCTTTTGACCGAGGCCTTCCCTAACCACCTTAATTTGAAATTTCAGCCATTGGCCGGCAGTCCCAATCTGCTTGCTGCCTCTTTCCCTTTCCATAGCACTTAGCGTCATCTGATAGATTCTAGTGTACATATATGCACTGGAATCATTCATTCATTCATTCATTCACTGCCTGTCACCACCTACTGGAATGTCAGCTCTGCAGGACAGGAGTTTTGCCTTGTTTGTTCATTGCTGTGTTCCCAGTGCCTAGAACAGCACCTGACAATACAGCCTGCAACCCACAGATACTTGTGCCTTGAATGAATGAATCAGTCAATCAATCATGGTGAATCCTCTGACTTTATCAGTTAAAAACAACAGTCCACTGTGAAGGTCTTCTTCCAACACTCTTGGCAGAAAGATCCAAAGTTAGCTTTTCTTATTCAGGAGAGGAGAGCAAAATGAAACAAACTTTCAGTAAGAAGGTAGAGTAAAACGTACCTTGGACATAACCCATAGGAAAGTACTAACACACATTTAGTGTTAAGAGTGAGTTAATTTGTGAGGAAAATAAGCCCCACCATGCTTCATTAGGGATTCAGTTCACACAAAGATTTTAACTACTACCTGATGATACTCCTTGTAAGTACATGATTTTCATTATAATTAGTAAAGTCATGGAACCTACTTTACATATATATATATATATATATATATATTAAAATAGCTTCATGATATTCAATGTCTAGAAAATAAAAAATGAACACAAGCTCTGCTAATTTCACTTTGAACACCTACATTTGCAGGATTCAAATGATTTGAAGAGGAAAGTGAAAATGGGCTCTGAGTTCTTTGAGAGAAGAAAGACAGAAAGTGAGATGGGAGCATCTCGGTGAGGCCACCAAAGCACGCTGTCTCCTACCTTGATATGCTGGATCCCACCCATGTTCATCCAGGCCTGTGCCTGCTCTGGGTTGAGAGCCACAGCTGCGTTGTAGCTCTAAGTGAATAAGAAAGAGCTTCAGGTTAGGAAATGAGAAGCCTTCCTGCATGTGTAACCATATAAGTCGTTAATGCAATGGAACCAACCACTACCAGCTTGAAGGAGGCCCTGCTTATTTTTGTTATTTTTAAAGTTGATGATTCTAAAGTGAAAGAAACTGAGCTGTGCAATTTCTCTGCAGAGCTAATCTGTGGATTCACACACTTGAGGCTGCCTGCTGGGAAACCAGGTGATGTCTACAATCAGGCATTCTTTCCCACTGGCCTTGACCTGCAAGAAAACCACACTTTTTGCCCTTCTTCACTATAAATGGAATTGGTAAGGAAAAAAGTCTATTTGAAATCAAAGAATCTGGCGGCCAGGAGTATGGCTTAGTGGTGGGGGAAGTCACTTAGCACTTGTAAGGGCATGAATTCAATCCCTAGCACTGAGAAAAAAGAAAAAGAAAAAAAACCAATCAGAACCTAGAGTAGTTTGCAGACAGCTTGATTTGGATGTTGAAGCACCTTCTATAATATCACTGACCTGGTTACTCAGCCTGGGATTCCATCTGGAAATGAGATGCTCACTGATCTGCTTTACCAGGGGATAGTTTTAATCATCAGAAAGTCTCTTTTTCTTCTGCCACATGAAAAGTCTGAAGTTACCTATCCCTCTAACATTTTCTTTTGTCTGAATAATGTGTAACCTACTAAATGCAGTATCTATGAGGCAGATTTTTAATACTGTGAGTTGTTTTGCATCAGAGTTCAACTCATCACACAGCCCTAACTTTGAGAGCACTCTCCTTAAGTGAAGCCAACAACTTTACAAAGCTGTGTATCTCTGTATGTATTTTAATATTCATTGCTATTTTTATTAGCAAAAATGTAAAAAAATGTAAAAAATCCACCAAATAAATTCTAATCCATCTCCTCCAGTTTTAGGAGAAAGAAGTAAATGGTAAGAAATTATATGCTTAAAAGGATGCTAAAATAAACCTCAAAGTTTGTCTCTCGGTTTAATTTCTATCAGCAGAGATGTGAGTGCAGAAAAGAAAGGCTGACTCTCACCTTGGCTCTGGCTCTTCCACCCCGGGTGACCCTGAACAAGTTATATGACCTCCAAATCTCAGCTTACAGCGGTACAGAGTGACAACAACAACCAGTTCTTTCCTAAATGATTTCTGCAAAGATTAAGTTACTTTATACATGTGAATCCTACACAGAAGTACCAGAACGAAGTACCCAGTAATGGTGGCCAACAAACCTCCTTCCACTCTCCTTTGAGCCCTGCCACTCTGCGATGTTCGTCCGATCCACTGGATTTTTCTTTATAGTATATCTATTTTTTGCAGTGCTGAGGATGGAACCCAGAGCATCTCATATGCTAGGCAAGGGCTCTACTGAGCAATACCCCAGCCCCCAGTGATATTTTAAAAGCCACTTGTTTATTTATTTCCTACCACAATTATATCATTTTAGATTTTACTTTGACCTACAGTGTAATTTTATAACTTCATTAATTCCAACCTGTGGCTTTACCACCACCACTAAAGTGTGGTATCGCCATCATTAAAGTGTGGTGTTTCTGTAACACTATTTATGTTTTTATATGTCTTTTTGATTTTGAACTTTTAATTTGGAATAAATTTTATTCCAGTGTTGTAGCTATGGAACACGCATAAGATACAAAACATGTTTTAGAACAGAGAAGAAAACGGTCCCTCTCACAAGGAATGTTCAACACACACACACACACACACACGCACACACGTACACACATGGAGGAGAGTGACAGAGAGCACTTGACAGCACAGCATAATATGACACTTTCTGTAACTGAGGCCTCAAGGAGAGGGAGTTTTCTGAGCTGGAGGAAACAAGGTCACTGAGGTAGGGCAGTCAGGAGGGCCCGCAGGGAGGGGGACAGAAGTGTGCACCAGAGAGAGTGCAGAACTGGTGGGGAGCTGGGTGCTGAGGACAGGGGCTGAGGCTCCCCGGGCACCAGTGCAGCTGCAGCAGGCTGTTCTTAAAGGCAAACACAGAAAGACAGAGACAGGTAGTTGGGTTATTTTGAGGCCAAAATGTGAATGTTTGGACAATCAAGTTAAAGGTGGTAATTGCAAAAAAGGCTGCATTGCCTAACTCTGGAGTAATCACAAACCAGGAGCTCAAATATAAAAATCAGTGGATCACACTATGTCAGTTAACCCGAAATTCGCCCTGCAGACACCCCAATGCATTAGATTTGCTATGTACGCTTCATTACAGATCGTAGGAGAACTCACTGTAATCTATAAATTAAGTAACAAGTATTATATATTTTACCTCAAAAGCTTTATCAAGAAGGTTTTGCTCCCTTAGTTGGTTGCCTTTTGTGAAAAAAAGTTCTGATACAACTTTTGGGTCCTTTGGTTTCAGCTGGAGCGCCTTGTCTATGGCATGGAGCGCCTGCGGAGGTGCAGAATAAAGACGGAATAAACACAGACTCCTGACGGAATGTACACTGTGGATTCATGGGTATTATTTGGGGTACAACAACCAAAACACACTCTGCATTCTCTGATTTTCTCCTTGAGAATTAACGGCTCTAACAAAATAATTCCCATATCTAGCTCCTTAATACATCAATGACAAAAAAGCAAAAATAAAAGCGAACCCAGAACAAGGAGTCCCGGTCACCTTACAGGGAGGTGGTGAAATGGAGCTGAGTGAAAGCGAGGCTGCCCTGACAGCCCCTCTCGTGCTCCTGGTTTCTTTCCCTCAGCCCCACCTGCTGCATCTCTGCAGCAAACAGCCTTTCAAAGCACAGATCTGATCATACCCCTCTGCTGCCAAACCCCCAAACATTCTCCTGAGGTAAAGAACAAAACCCCAGGGAGCCCAGCAATCTGTTTGCAGCCCTGCTTTCTGATGCCCATTCCTCAGACAGGCCGTGTGCTGCTGCCACAGGACCTCTGCATGTGCTGTTTCTTATCCAGAATGTTTTCTTCCCTGCCCCTTCTGCTGAATTACTCTGATTCATGATCCAGCCCTCTCTCCACCTCATTTCACAGGGAAGTCTGGTCTTTCAGACTGGTCATGTGCCCCGGTCACATTCTCTGGGGCAATGCATCACTCTCTGATGTCTCCAGGCATAGGCAGTCACACTCTTGGTGTAATTAGTTGCTCAGTCTTTCCCCTCTACTACAAGCAGCGTGGGGATGGTGCAGCGGCTCTTTGTTTTTGGCATATCACTTTATTTCTAGCATCTAGCACATAGCACACATTCAACAAATGTTGAGCTGGCTCATGATTTCACTGGTTACGTGATTTTCAAAGTGGAGATAAACAACAGCAACTGCAACTCTGGCCTGCCTTACAGAGCTCTTAGGAGGATTATACGAAACCTATTCTAGAAGAAACATGGAAAATGCTAAAAGGACATGAATGTCAGTCTTTCTAGAATTAACTAAAACCAAACAGATAAAATTATATCAAATCTTTAGACCATGGAAAAGCCAAAGCATAGACATTTCATATACATAGACATTTCATATACAGCTTAGGAGGTAAGAGGTATCTATGAGAAGCCCCTGTGAGACTAGGAATCCTAGCTGACAGGGTTCAAGGCTTCTCAGCCAAGGAATGCGTAAACAGGAGGACCACAGGCACACACCTCTTCCCACTCAGGAAGCTGAGGGCGTGGTTACCTTGTCGTGGTCCTGCTGCTTGCTGTAGATGGCCGACAGGAGGCGGTAGCACTCCAGGCACTCGGCCCCCTCTGATACGATGTGCTCGGTCATCTTCTCAGCTTCTTTGGTCTGGCCCATCACTGCCAAAACCTGTGCCTACAAAAGCACACAGGCCTCAGCTGAGCAGGTGCTTCATGGCTGCTCATCACACAAAGCACCCGTAAACAGAGGCTTTCAGAAGATAGTTCTGCCCACATCTTAGCATCTACCCCGAGAATCAGAGGGAAGGCAGAGTGCCCAGCCTGTAGGTTGTCATTCTCTACTGCTCCTTTATTTCTTAAGCTATGTTCATGCATTTGTGTGTGAATGCCAAGAATGCTGAAGATATCCAGTGAAATGGCTGTGCTTCTTAACAAAGGTCAACTAAAATATCCAAAGACAAACAATTTTCTATGATTTCAAAAGAATAGGATGCTTGCAAGAAGATAACAAATGTGATTTATTGCACATTTAAGAAAAGGAAGACGTTCTAAACATTGAAATCAAAACACTGTTGATATTCATGTTAATATTCCTGAGTCTGATAACTGGACTGTGATCCTTGTTCTTAGGAACTATGTGCATAAGCACTTAGGATAAAGGAGTCTGACAGCTATAACTAACTCACATGTACTGCAGTAGGTGAGTGTGTGTATACCACGCACGTGACAGAAGAATGCACCGACATTAAAAGTTGACAGAGCTCAGTGAACGGTACTGAAGAGTATTTTATTATCTTTGCAACTTGTTTGTTTTTCATTTTGCAGAGCTGGGGAGTAGCGCCAGGGCCTCATACATGCTAGGGCCAGGCAAATGTTCTACCACTGAGCTACATCCCAACCCTGCGACTTTTTCTAAGTCTGAAATTATTTTGAGACAAAGCTCTGAGGATTTATAGTATCTGTGTGCAGCAGATGGCTGCAGCCCTGGTGATGTGAGCATCATGCCGTGGACTGCAAGACAGCAACCCTGTGCCAACTCCTGACCCGCCCTGAGCTTGGGCCCAGCTTCCCATCATTTCCTCTGCCACTCACCAGTGCCAGACGCAGCTCCCTCTGCAAGGGCTGGAGTGCCACAGCCTCGTGGTACACCTGTAGTGCCTCCTCATAGCGGCCGGTGTTGTAGTAGAGTGCTCCCAAGGGAGACAGGGTCTCAGCTTCACGGGCCACCTGCAGGGCTCTGAGTTTGGATAAAGGCAAACCAACACTTTTCTTCTAAACAGCACATTTCCAGAAGTCTTAGCTGAGCCACCCTCTAAGCATAAACATGTCTCTGCTGACAGGGGCCTCACTCATGCAAGGGATGGCCTCGGTTCTGCTCTGAGGTGTGTGCACCTCCCCCATTCCCACTTGGAACTTGCTATTTGTGGTTTGGAAATTATGGATTAACTAAAGTGGAAATGAAATTCCAACACTGCTTTAGCACTACGGTTAACCAGCAGGGAAAAAGTCATTAATTAGGATAGCATCCATACCACGGGACTGTTCTCTTTGGAAATGAGAATCTGGATCCTGCACTGGCAATCTGCTAATACCGTATTCTGAAAGCCTGTTTCTTCTAATTAAACGGGAAGTTGGTGGCATCTTCTGAGGTCTCTGGGCAACTTAGAAAATGAAGAAAGGAGCCAGGTATGGTGGTGCAAACCTGTAATCTTAGCATTTGGGAGGCTGAGGCAGGACGATCACCAGGAGTTTTTGGCCAGAGTGGGCTAGTGAGTTCAAGGCCAGCCTGAACTACATAGTGAGACCCTGTCTCAAAAAACAAAAACAAACACACAAAAATCACAGGAACTGTACCGTTTGTACCATTCTTCAGCCATGTCATTCTCACCCAGCGACCTGTAGAGTCTGCCCAGGTTCACCATGGCCACGTGGTGATGAGGGCTGAGGATGACAGCCTGCTGGTAATGGGCTGCGGCCTTCTCAGGGGACCCTGGGGAGAGCAACCGGGGGAGAGCAGAGCCTGTGTTAGGAGGTGAGGGGCCCCGGGGTCCCAGCTCGAATCGCTCCTTCTGGTATTACAGACCTATCGCCAACTATTCAGTTTACAACTTAGCTTGCACTTTGGTGTCTCATCTGTGCTTTAACTTTGGACCATTTTCTTCTTCATTTACATTTCTGAAGAAATTAATGATTAAAAAGCAGTAAAAATTGAAGCCTATTTCCTTCACTTTATTATTTTAGTCAGAGTGTTTTCTGGTCACCGCCTTTGTGGCTAAGATGTTTGGAGGGGATCAGCAACTTGTTCACCCAAGACACAGCCACCTCCCATATGCACACTTGGAACAGCACTGCAGGAGACCACAGTTCTGACACCAGGCCTTGGGGTTACTTTCAGTCATTTCACTGTGACACGGCAAGTGAGTGCTGCTTGAAACAATCTGCTCTGTCCTGACAATCTCTATTGGAATCATACTTTTTATTCAAATAGCATTTGTTTAATGCGACTATAAACAACAATAATGCCCCCTTGCATTTATCCCATGCATCACATATTTTAAATTGCTTTTATTTGCACCACCTTTGTAGCATTCATTCTGGATACTTTTGATACTATTTCGCTGCCTCTTGGGATTTAAAGGATATTTAAAACAGAAACAAAAATGAAACTTCTACTTTACAGGTATAGGTGTAAACTGCGAAACCCTTAAGATGTCAGACAAACATCCAGGTGAGTGAGGCACAGGCCAGGACAAGTGTGAAGCCCTCGGTTCCCTGAAGAAGCTTCCTAGTGGTACCTTGGCCACATGACTAAGCCTGATGAGTCTGGTTCCAGCAGAATGGGGCCTTGGGTATCTGCAGAAGTCTCCCAAGTGTGACTAGGTGGCAGCAAAGATATCACATCTAACGTGGCCAGGGTGTGGACATCATTCTTTTAAGGAGTGGGTGGTGGAGCCGTTTGCTTCTGAAGTTTAAGACCAAGGCGCAGACCAGGATAGGAAGAGGACTCTTCCAGTCTTCCTATCTTTATATTTAATTTATTATTGTACAGCTGATAAGCCAGCAGGTGGCACCAGACAACAATTTTATATGCAAAAATGAGGTTACATTTCCAGATGTATCACTGTGGATTTATATATTCTGTAAACAGAAGAACCTCACATATCCTAGAAAAGAAAGATCCTTTCAAGCATTTCATATTGAAAAAATAATTAAAACTGAATTTCACTGCAGGGCAGTGAGTCTTAATAGTCAACAAGAAAAAGGGATATTTTACATTAAATTCAAATATCATTTCATCACTTATAAGTATTCATTACATGCCCATGGTATACGGGGCTCTGCACAAATCATAACTACAGTCCCTGCCTAGTAATGCTTAGCATGAAATAAGATGAAGAAAGTGAATTTTACATAGCACCTGTCATAGGAGAACACTGTATCAATTATAGTAATGATGGGGCCGGGGATTTAGCTCAGTGGTTATGCCACCTGTTTTGAAAACGCAAGGACCCACGTTTAATCCCCAGTACCAAAAAAAAAAGTGAAATTATAGTAATGCTGATTCTGTAATGCGGATCAAGAAAGGAAGAATGAAACAATTCCAGAAACCTCTTTCCTCAATTAAAGCGAAGTATTTATCATCTGTGAGTGATAAGGTTCACGGGCAGGTTCTATAGTATTGTAGGAGAGCATTTCACCATTGCAAACTTATCAATTTCTGTAAGTGACACTCAAAGAAGAATAGGACCAAATCAACAAGGCTACTTCCTGCCTCCAAGTTTTCCTTGAGACTTGATCATAAGAAATGGGTAGAATGTACTGAACTGAGCTTGAAGATTTGGGAAGTGACAGACGTGGGACATGACACTGGAAGTACAAGTTTCCTGCCAAGCCGGTGGATCTGATTTCTGGCGATTATCTGCGATACTGTCTCTCTGCTTCGTAGACAGTATTATCTCATTGCCACAAAACAGTTTCCCCGCTCATTTCACTTACCAGAATCAACTAAGAAGACTCCATAGTTGTTGTGTAAATCTGAGCTGTCTGGGCAGTTCTTTATACCAGCCTGGTATATTTCTTCAGCTTCCTTAAATCTTTCCTTTTAGAGGACAAGAAAAAGATATGATAAAGTTTTTAAAAATCAATGAACTGAGTACCAGTAGTAGGACAAGTAATTTTACTGGGCACCTACTACACAATAGGCCCTAAAATATGAACTCTCCCTGAATTAAAGTCAGTATTAAGTGTGCATACGGAATTGACTCATATCTGTGTTTATTTCCTTTAGGGCCAAAAAGCTGATGTTTACTAAAATGGGACACCTGGATGGACTGAGACCTACCTGTGGAAAAAGTCTGAAAAGAGCTGTTGGAATGGGATGGAACAGTAATGGAAATGCAGCACTGTGGGGCTGTGTTCAGAGGCAGCCTCTGGAGGGGAAGGACACTGAGGGGTTTGTTTGATAACTGCATTTGCGAAGAGACCACACTTTCCTGACCTATACTGTAAGGTTGATTTTGGGAAGTTTTTAAAGGATGTGGAGAGGGAAGACTGATGCAGATTCTTGGGGGGGGATCTGCCTTCTTCCTTCTTTGCTTTCAGTATTTCTGAAGCTCATCACACTGTGTACTGCTCTTCGTCTCTGAGTGATTAAAGACCCCACGCATCACGTGACCACTCTGAGTCTCATCTCTGGCCTGTTGTCAATGCCCAGACCAATCACCACATCCTCAACAGCCGATCTTCTAACTGCCTTTATCTTCTATTCACTTAAAGACTTAGTTGAAAGGATAAACTTGAGTCATTTGTGGAAAAATGGATGCACCTTGAGACCATAATGTTAAGCAAAATAAATGAGGCACACAAGTTTAAATATTGCATGGTTTCTCTTATATGAGAAACTCAAATTATAAATAATTTAAAGAGCAAAATACAAGAGAGATAACAGGAAACAAGGATATAGATCTTTTGTAAATGGGAAGAGGACAAGAGACAGAAGGGGGTGGAGGGGACATAAAAAGAATGAAAATGTGTTATATACATGTACCAACTCCCAATGAGGAATGTAATCACTATGTGTTACAGACCACAAACATGTACTGCACTAATAAAAATAAAAAGCTAAAAAAATGAAAGGCTAAATATACAAGATTCACTTTAGCACTCTAACAATTCTGAATTAATTTTTTGGTGCACTGTTCACAAACAACTGGGATCGTCAATGTCACGGATTTTTTTAAAATCTAGAAGTTAGGGCTGGGGATTTAGCTCAGTGGTTCTGGCGCTTGCCTTGCACAAGAACCCGAGTTCAATCCCTAGTACAAAAAATAAATAAATAAATACAATATAGAAGTTAAAATCTAGTTAATCAAAGGCTCTAAGAATTATCCACCTGTATACACTTGCATTTCCTGCTGCTGTCGTGCAGGTCAGGTGAAAGGAAAGGATTCAGTGTAAAGCATACAGCAAATCTGTCCTTAAGACACTGAGGATGAACGCTTCAAAAACCTTATCACAAGCTCTTACTGCTGAGCTTTCTACCAGACACATCCAAAGGGAGGGCAGAGCTTGGTTTCTCAGATGCTGAGCCTTCAGTCTGTGAATAAAAATGTGTTAGATACTCACACAAAGCACTCAGCAATAAGTAAGTTAAGATCTGATTTGACCCAGAACGGAAACATGCTTTCTCCTCTGTAGAGTGATCAAAGCCATCTGTTTCTCCCCATAACTGTGCAGTGTTCAGGAAAAAAGTGAGGCTCAGATTTGGCAAATTTCACTTATTTTAATTATAAATCCATAGTCCTGCAAAAAATGTGGATCCATGCTTCTAAAAATGTAGAGCTTTTTTCAATAAATTGTCCAACTCAATATAAAGATGAATGAAAATCTCAAAATATTTCTTTTTCAATCTACAAAGAGAAGAAATGTTCTATGACTACATTGTCCACTGCAGGGCTGACACACTGTGTGTGTGGTAAATGAGGAAGAGCGAATATAAATTATGTAAGACTCCAATCAATTAATAAATAAAAGGCACTGCTGGGTGTTTTCATTTATCCAGCTGTTCAGCCCCTGTTAGCTGCAATCTCCATACAAAGTGTGCACAGAAACTGAGGATTTGGCGGTGGCGCTCGACTGCAGTGGCTCAGAGTTCCAGCCCTACTGCTGCGTCTGGCCTGTGCACCCTTCCTTTCCCTGTGCCCCACAGGTAGGACAGGAATCACAATGGTCCCTGTCTCCTGGTGTGCAGTAGAATTAGATGGCTGAGACTGCAAGACTGGAGTCCTTGGGATAATGCTCAGCAAATGCCTAGTGCTTTGTGTGCGACACCAGCCCTATGCCTCCCTGCCTTTTTTTTGGTACCAGGATCACACTTGGGACCCTGCACTTTCGAGGCAGGCTCCAGAACCACTGAGCTGAATGCCCGGCCCAGCCCTGCACCTCCCTGCCTTACTAGGAGCACTACTGTTGTCAATGGACTGACTCAGCCTGCACTGCTGGGAGAGGGCGGCAGAGGCACCGAGAATGAAATGCAATCTTCTATGGGAGGAGCACAAAGACCAGTGGCCCAACAAGTCCAGCCACATGTGCTCGCAGTGCTGAAGAGGCCTGTGAGCCTCAAGTCCAGGCGGCCACACCAGGCACAACCACTTCCAAGAGGTGCTTCAGCCAGCAGCTTCCAGTCTCTCTCCACGTGACTTTCTATGGGGAAAAGTTTCACTTGGGTTTTCCTTTATTTTTCTTAGTCACCATGATACAGAGGTCAAATATCACTCAATATCTTAAAAGCAACCAGAGAAAAACTAGCCAGAGTAATCCTGAACTGCACTATCAGTCTCTAAAAACTTAAGCTGCCTGGGTTACTATTTCAGCAGTGTTAGTGTTTGACATTGTCATCTTTCTTTTTAAAGGATAAATTTTCCAATTTATCTGGATCTTTTAAGACACATTTACATGGTAAAATAAAAATTTCACAAGCATTTATTTAAAATATGATGGATGCAATTTTCAGCACCTCCACCAAAAAAAACAACAAAAAACCCCACCAAGAGCACGGAATACTAGCACTGAAAGAACAAGAACAGACTAATTCACCATGGTTTTTAACAAATGAAGAAACTTGGAGCCGGGTGTGGTGGTTCACAGCTGTAATCCCCAGCATTCAGGAGGCTGAGGCAGGAGGATTATTGTGTGTGTGAGGCCATCCTGGGCTACATAGTGAGTTCAAGGCCAGCTCGAACTACATAGTGAGACCCTGTCTCAAAAAAAAAAGTCAAACGAAGACACTTGGGTATGAAGTGGTTATGATACTCAAAAATCTGAGCTCCCTGGGGACAAAAGTTAGAACCTAGGTTTTCAGAGGGACACAAGGAAATGGTGACTCCTGAATAAAAGCAGTATTTCTGGAAACAACAAGAATAGTTCTGGCATCAAGAAGGACATATTTTTGGATATCCATGTATCCACCCACGCATTCATCCCCCAAATAAATGTTCTGCAAGCACCACCCACATGCCATGCACACAGTAGAGGCAGGAGAGTGTCCAACACAGCACACTGCTGCCCTGTGGACAGCTGAGTTGGATTCGGACAAGAGGACACCGTGATGTTACTGTCACCAGCAGCAGCACAAGGTGCAGGGGCAGCACCCAGACCTGGGTTAGACAGATGTTGTCATCCCTCAGCCCAAGGACCCTGCTGAGCATGAATGCCAGGAGCTAGTAACATAAAGATGTGTTTGGAAAAAACCCAGCAGCCATCTGAGACCTTCAAACGATCTTTACAACCAAAGCTGGGTGAAACCAAAGCTGCTTTCCCCGAAAGGAGTAACGCGGATGTCTTCCAGGACCCACTTGCTAAAATAAAATACAGTACCAAACAATGTTTTCCTAGTGCGATTGCTGTTCCACCTGATGCAGTCTGACCCTTTCTCCTTCCCTACCACCCTACAGGCAAAGAGATTACCTTTCTCATCTGGGACTTTTCTCTTGCTTTTGTCCTTCTGAGCTGAATTTCCCCTAGAACCATAATTTTCCAAGTGCAGAGAAGCAATGGGACTTAAAAGATCACACCTCAGAGAACGGACCCAGCCTTGTGCTTTCCGTGACCCAAGGACCATTTCAAGGCCCCGTGAACACTGTCCTCCACCTCTATCCTTTCCTCACTGGCTCTGCATTTGCAGGAGTGACGCACTCCACTGAGGAACAGAGGGGCCACCATTCCAGGCGGAAGGCAAGATACTGCTCTTCAGTGGTAAGGTATCTAATCCAGGGGCCCGTTTCAAGTGCTCACTTTGATTACCTCCTCCGCTTACAAGTCCTGAACCAGAAGCCTGCCCATTCCTGGTCTCCATGGACGTGTGCAGCCCAGAGAGGGGCCATGAGAGGGACACAGCTCCACACCAGAGCCCAGCCAAGCACAGCCTTAGCACCAAGCAGCTTTTGCAAGTAGGAGTTAAACATGGATGTGTGCAGCTCCCCGCTTTCCCATCCCCTGCAGGGCATGTTTCTGCCTCCAGGAAGGGCAGGTAGAAGCGGGTGCTCTGTGAAATCCCCCGACTGTAATCTGCCCTTGTGGGCCAGCTGGTAAGTAGGGAGCAGCCTGGATGACAGACAGACACTGGCTCTGTGCAGCAAGAGCTAGCTTTCTTGGTTTTAGGGCCTTTTCGAACTCAAAAAATTCTGGGGCTATCGTAAACCTTTCATTTATATGGGCTACATCTGTCTGTATTTGCCACAATGAAAAGAAGCTGAGAAATTTTCAAGATGTTTATTAATTTATTCAAAATAAACTCAAACATAAATATTTACATGGAATATATTTTCCAAAGCAAAACTAGTTAGAATGGTGGCAATGATTTACATTTCTGCAAACTTCTTTCATGTCTGAGTTAATAGAAGCTACTGAACTCTCATACATATGGCTTTTGTGCTAATATGCCATCTACTATCTGTCTGTCTGTCTGTCTACCTACCTACCTATCTTTGCAGTTACTATGGGACTAGGAGCACTCTACCACTAAGCTACATATTCAGACTCTATTTTTTAATTTTTTATTTGGGACAAGGTCTCACAAAGTTGCTCGGGCAGGACTGGAAC